GAGCAGGAAGGAACAAGGGAAAACAGGAGGTTTTCCCCATGGACCGACCCGTGATGAGATCCTATTCCCGGGCCCGCAACAGAAGAGGAGCTAAAAATTCTTAACTCCCCAGAACAGAAATACATCTGATTTAAACACTCAGAACCTTACAATTGAGCCCAAAACCCTGAATTTCTAAAAACTCCTTGCCTAGCCAATCCATCAGCAAAGGAATTAGCATTTCTTTTAATCCAAGTACATAGGACTTCCATATCCTTAATCAGCCACTTGAATTTTCTTTTCTCATTGTTGTAGCTCTAGCTCCACATCTTGGAAGTGTCTTCTTTCAACCAATCCACAACAACTGCAGAATCTCCTTCTATAATCAGTTTCTTAACTTTAATTTCTTTGGCCCTTTGCACCCCTTCCAACACTGCTGACACCTCAGCCCTCAAGGAGTCTCCCACTCCAATTGGACTAGAGAACAAAGCTATTACATTACCTCTCTCATCTCTTAGGACCCCCCCAATACCCAAAGGCCCTGGATTCCCCATGCTACTGCCATCAAATTTTAGTTTGATAAAACCAGGAGGTGGAGGGTTCCACGTGAGATTCAAAGCCTTCTTCCTTGAAACTGAGCTAGCAACTTCTTTCCACTTTCTTAGCAAATCGTTTGTTGAAAAATCTGTACACTCCTTCATTGTCTTCAGCCAGTGTATTACTCTTATATGAATCAACTCTACGATATTTTCCAAGCCTCTCTCCTTTTCTGAGAAGATCCTTGCATTTCTTTCCTCCCATAATGTCCAACAAACAGCAGCTCTCACACATCTCCACATAATTCTTAATCTTTTTGTTGAGCATTCAATAGGTAAACAGGAAATCAAGCTTTGCAGACTAGTTGGAGATGTCCACCTACACCCAAATAAAGAAGCAAACCAATCCCAAATATTTTTTGCCAAAACACAAGATATTAGTAAGTGGTACCCAGACTCACCAGCAGCTTTGCATAAAACACACCAGTGTGGAGATAAACAGCTATTGGGTCTTTTTCTTTGAAGTAGGTCACCCGTGTTGATTCTTTCAAGGAAAACTTCCCAACAAAAGCTCCCAACCCTCGGAGGTATAGGCTTACACCACACTTCCTTGACAAGGAATGACAGTCCAATAGGAATTTCTAGTTGTATCAGGGCTTTAAAGAAGAATGCACAAGTAAAGGATCCAGAGGGAGACAAAGACCAGATCCTACTATCTATCTTTGTGGGTTCCAAGAAAATCCCATCAAGAATGGACAAAAGAGTTGAAACATTATCCAGTTCTGTGTCCCTGAGTGCTCTTCCCAAACCCAAGTTCCAAGCAAAACCGGAATTTGAGTTTGAGGAAACGAGGAAATTGGTAATTGGTTCATTTTGGAGGGTGGAGATTGCAAATAAAGCCGGAAATTGGTCTTTCAAAGGGATCTCCCTAACCCAAACATGTTCCTAGAACTTTATGAAATTAATCTGTTACTTATCAAAAAAAAAGAAAGAAAATGATATTATGCTAACTATTAGAAGTGCAAGAAGTAAATATTAACTTTCTACTTTTACTGGTGGACACCCTAGGATTCAAAATATTTCCACTCAAATCATTAATGAAATATACTTTTTTTTTATCAGTGACAAACTGGCAATGCTAAGTGATGTGTATTATACAAGGCAAAATATGGTTCTCAACACATTTTGTTAGCTAGATAGTTGCAAAACAAGCGATATGTAAAACTAAACCTCCTTTAACAATGAGATTACCTTGGCAATTTTGACCAACTGATCATGGTTGTCATGACCATAAAAGAATGGCTCCTTGCGAAATATCTACAAACAGTACATCCAACATGAGAAATGTCATCATGTAATGGGCAGGAGGAAACATAAATAACATTCATGTGAATCCTTGCTTCAACCAGACTAAACAACATTTTCCAGCAACAGAGACTCACCATTCCTGCAAACATGCAGCCAAGACTCCACATATCCAAAGAATAATCATAGTCTTGAAGATCAACAAGAAGTTCAGGCCCCTTGAAGTACCTGAGCAAAAGGATAAAAATGTTAGTTTCCTACAGATTTTTTTTAAGATAAATAAAAAAAAAATTATTAATGAAAAAGGAAAGAGAGGATAGAAGTGGGTGATAAGAAATCACCCAGCAAAACAAACCTGCCCAAAAACAAAAACAAAAAAATCCTAAGACAGAAAATCAGCTCTACGAAGTCCAGTACACCCTGAGAAATCCAAACCCAGATACAACTGCAAAAACCCCAAACAAATATCACGCAAACCCCTCCAGGCTCCCACCAACCACCATAATAGATAAGCGGGAAACTGCAGATCCACCACCCTTCCAACCCCTGCCGAAAAACACAGAAGAAAACACCTCGATCCCCACCAGCCATTTCCGATGAAAAACGCAACTCAAGCTTTATCCATTTCTGTGTATCCATTGTCTGAAATGCAGCTCTCACTTCTCATCTGAGAAACTTTCTTTGTCTTCTTCCCCTTCTTTAGTCCCGTCCCAAATACTCCCAACTTTAACCTGGCAAAAGCTTTTGAGGCTTGCATCATTTGATTAGTTTTCTGTCTTTCAAATCTTCTTACTGCATTAGGAATTTTCTCCATCTTCGTGTAAGCCTCCCTTCTTTCATTGATTCTTTCTAATTCAAATATTGCATTCTTTTCAAAAAATTGAGTTGCATTCAAACCTTCTCTCCTAACCTTCCCCTCCCCAACGTTCTGTCAACCTTCACAATCCCATTCTCCTCAGCATTCCCAGAATCAAAACCACCCACCTCATCATCTGAGTTTAATATCCCCTTATCCTTCTCTTTTGACTGAACTCTATACTCATCTTCCACCTCCCTAAAAGCTTCCTTTGCAAAATCCTTCCCTCCCAAGAAGAATAAGCCCGATATTTTACTAGTCTTCACCTCTTTGTTCAGCACCACTTCCATATCCGCAACTCTCTCAACTTGTGAGTCTCATCTATGACTACTTCCTCCTCTGTAGCCGATGTTTCTCCACCCTCATCACCTAATTCCCCACCATCTTGCAACGGTTTAGTTCTGTTTTTTTGTTTCCTTTTGTAGACTCTTGAACATGACTTCCCTTCCTTTTCCTCCTCAACCTTCTTCTCTACTGTTTCACTAAAAACCTTGAGACCCACAACTTCCAATTCGATCCCTGTTTAGAATTCTTCCCTCTCTCCCCCTTTTCCGTGACTCTTCTCCCCCAACCTTTTCTCCCTTCCAATCCCTTCTTTTTCAATTTCCAACATTTCCATCATTTTAGTATCAGCTTCTCCAACATTGTCATCAACTTCTGTAGACTCTTTTTCCGACTGAAGGCATTCCACAGTCTTGGATTCCAATCTCCCCACTCCGACATCCCCCTCAGAAACTTCCCCAATTTCTGGTTCAATCTCCCCTGAATAAGGCATAGATCGTATAGGTAATGAGTTGGAGCAGGGGTTGAAGCACGTGTTACGATGGGGATCCTCAGTGTCTCATTTTTCATTTCTAAGAGAAGACTTGCTGTGATTATCCAGTGAGTTGCTAAAAATCTTCAGAATCCCACCTGGTTTGGAGCACTCACCCCTAATACCCGACCTGCTAACTTTTCCTGAGTCATCTAGCCTAATCAGGTCACACAAAGTGTCTGAACTTAAAGGATTCATGCCCTTTCGTTTCTCAACTTTCCTCCTTCCAAAATCATTTGTTATTTTTGTCTTTCCCGAGGACTGAGATTTATTCCTCTTTTCCTCCGCCAATACTTCTTCCACACCTAGCACTTCTACCACCAGACGCTCTTCCAAACTTTGGCTGCCATGTGGCCTCCCCCTGCCTTGTCAGCTTCATCTTCAACCTCTCGACCATCCCCCCACTTCGTGTTCCGACACTATCCAAGCCTTCGACCAAACTCCATTCAAAAAGACATCAATGGATCGAGGCACCTCTTCCGGATTCACTCCAGCGACTTCCACCACTGCTGACCTAAGATTCGAAGTATTGCAGGATATGAAGATCCCTCCTATCATCGTCACAACCTTCTCCAGCGCTGACTCATTCCAGAGATTCAAAGACGATCCAAACAATCTGATCAATGGGCATTTGCCCCAGAACTATGAAGTTTCAAGCAGTATTCACTAGATTCTCGAAATCCGTAGTGGGGGACAGTAGTAGGGTAAGATTTTGGGAAGATAAATGGTGTGAAATGTAAAGTAGTGTTATTTATGCCTTAGGCTGTATAAACCAAGTCCAAGGAACATTTCAGTAAGTCAATGTTTTGAAAAGAGATGAGTCAGATTATACGATGACCAATTTTCAGACACCCAGTTTTGGATAGAGAACTAGAAGAATGTGCTGCATTGTTTGCTAAATTGCATAAAGTAAAGTACGACACCAGCAAGGCAGCAAACCTGATAATGAGATGGTGGAAAGAATGCAGAGACAGGAAATTTATAGTCTAGCCTTTTCTAATACATTAAAAAGCAGGTAGAAGTTGGTAATATTAACGGCATTTGGGGAAACCCAATTCCTCCAAGGATTGAAGCATTTGCATAGTTACTTTTAATGGACAGTGTTCTGACTTTGGATCAAATGAAAGTTAGATGCATCCAGCTTCCAAGCATTTGCTTAATGTGCAAAGATCATGAAAAAGATACATCTCACCTATTTATTCATTGTGGCACTATGGAATCACTAAATCAGAACCAGCTCAAATACAGGAGATATTCACCAGATGGCTTAGATTTTTTTAGAATTTAGAAAGTAGTCAAAAAGCTAAAATATCTTTAGGTATCACCTCTTTTGCTGTTTGCTGGGGTATCCGGAGAGAAAGGAACAGGCATATCTTTGAAGGAAAGGTTCAAGACAAAAGTAAACCAGTTGCTGATATCTGGGCACTATCACATTCTGAAAACAAAACGATTTTGGGGATAATTTGTAGGAGAATTAAATTTGGTTCTTTTTTGGGAAGACACTTGGGTGGGAAATCAACCTCTAAAAGACCTATTTCCTTCTCTGTATGCCCTTTCCCTTTATAAAAAGGAGGTTATCTCTGTCCTTCTTCCCCCTCCAGTTTTACCTTTATCCTTGAACTGGGACTTTGGTTTTCGTAGGGGCTTAAGGGAGGAGGAGCTTGCTTGTGTTACTCAACTTCTATCCATTCTAGAGAGTGTTTGTTTGGACCCCTCCTCTCCTGATAAAAGGGTGTGGACTCCTATTCCAAAAGGTTCTTTCACTTGTGCATCATTCTTCAAATCCCTTTGTTTGAGCACCTCTTTTGAGCCTTTCCCAGTGAAAGAAGATTGGACAAAGCTTGTGCCACCCAAAATTGCTGTTTTCTGCTGGGAAGTGTACCTTGGTAAGATCAACACTTTGGAGAACTTACAAAAGAAAAAGCCTTTTATTTGTTTGTCCCCAAACTGGTGTGAACTGTGCAATTCTCATAGTGAGGACTATTACCACTTACTGGTTTCTTGTTCCTTTGCTGCAGCTCTTTGGGAATGGATGTTTGTTTTGTTTGGATGTAGGTGGAACCACCCAGCAGAGGTAAAATCATTATTTGCACCAACTACCTTTGTTTGCCTAACAAAAAGAGGAAGGAGTATGTGGAGATGTTTCAGAGCAGCCACATTATGGACAATCTAGGAAGAAAGAAACGCTAGAATTTTCCAAGATAAAGAGAGGTCCTTTACAGAAGTGAAGGAATGTATCTTAACCAAGACTATCCATTGGTTGAAATCCTTGGCTTCTTTCAGCTCTTTTTCATTTGATGACATCTGGAGAAATTGGACCACAGTTGCACACACTTCGGTTAGGAAAACCAGAGCCACTATAGTTTGGGTAACTCCCCTAGAAGGTTTTTTTAAACTGAATTTTGACGGAAGCAGCTAGGGTAACCCAGGACCGTCTGGCATTGGAGGAGTATTGAGGAATGAAAATAGAAACACCATATCCTTATTCTTAGGCCCGATAGGGATAGGGTGTTAGGTTGAGGGGTTTTATGTATTGATGGTTCGGCTGATAAGTGTTCTTATTAGTCTGTATTTGTGTTTAAGTTGTTATGTACTGGGCCTGTGTTAATGGGCCTAGGTTTATTTGTTGTTGTAAGTAGTCTGGCTGTCCCATCACTAACCAGGGGCATTCCAGACATTTCCTATAACATTGTACTATAATCTAATATAAATAATAGTACTGTTGGTTATTCAGTTCGACATTCTCAGCACCTCTTGGTCTCTTTCTCTCTTCTACTACTTCGACTACAACATTTCAGCTTTCATGGTATCAGAGCATTGAGCACTTTCCTGGTTGCAGCCGACGCCATCTCTTCTCTCTTGCTGTCTTTCTTTCTTTGTTTTGTCTTGGTTGCTGCGGTGAAACCCTAGGGTTGCAGAACACTACAAGGTTCGAACCTAGGGTTTCACTTGGTTGTAGGGCGCAAGGGAAGAAGACCCAGAAGTTGATGTCCTACTAGACTGTTTCTAGTAGTTARTAGCTATYCGGCTGCYAAGAGAGGTCTGTATAGGACAGACCTAGTTTGAGGACTGATTTCTGCAGTCCTAGTATTGGCCGTAGGGGGAGGAACACTCTCTACAGTTGCAGTAATCGAAGCYCAAGAGAAGTCTGCATAGTGCAGTGGTGTGAGCTCTCAGTTTCAGGTC